AGGTACAATGCTAATAAATTGGAAAACAAAGATAAAATGAGTAAATTTGAGCCAGGCATGGTGGCACACGCCTTTAATCCCAACAGTCAGGATCTCTTTGGGTTTGAGGCAGCCCTGGTCTACATATGAGTTCAAGGCCAGCTGGGGCTACAAAGAGAAAAAAAAAAAGAATACATTTGGAAAAAAACAGAAAAAATGTCAAATTGACTCAAGAAAAAGTAGAAAATTTACTCTAAGTAATAATACTTGGGGCTGGAGAGATGGGTCAGTGGTTAATATCACTAGCTGCTCTTGCAGGAGACCCGGGTTCGAAGTCCAGCACTCAGATGATGGCTAACAATCGTCCATAACTCCAGTTCCAGGGGATCCAACACCCTCTGAGTCTGACCTCTGTGGGTACTGCACAACATGGGTGCACTTATATACATGTAGACAATACATTCTTACACACACACAAAAAAAAAGTTAAAAAAAAAAAAACCCAACACTTGCTGTCCTTCCAGAGGACCTGGGTTCAATTCCTAGCACCCACATGGTGGGTAACAACAATCCTTAACTTCAGTTCCGGCATATCTGACACATTCTTCTGGCCTCTGTAGGGCACTGCATGCATGTGGTATATACACTTACATACATGTAGGGTAAACACTCATACACATAAAATAAAAATAAAAAATTTTAAAAAATACTCTAAATTGCTGAGCATGGTGGCTCACACGCCTTTAATCCCAGCACTAGGGAGGCAGATACAGGCAGATCCAGGAAAGCTGTGGCTAAAGGGAGACCCTGTATCAAAGATACCAAATAATAATAAAAAGTTAATGTTGTAATAAAAAAATCTCCTTTAGGCTGGGCGTGGTGACACATGCCTTTAATCCCAGCACTCTGGAGGCAGAGGCAGGTGGATCTCTGTGAGTTCAAGGCCAGCCTGGTCTACATAGTTAGTTCCAGGACAGCTGGGGCTACAGGAAGACCCTGTCACAAAAAGACCGGAAAAAAAAAAAAAAAATCTCCTTTAGTAGCTGGGTGTGGTGGCACATGCCTGTAGTCCCAGCACTTGGGAGGCAGAGTCTGGCGGATCTCTGTGAGTTCAAGGCCAGCTTGGTCTACACAATGAGCTCCAGGACAGCTGGGGCTACAGGGAGACCCTGCTTAAAAAAAAAAAAAAAAAAAAAAAAAAAAAAAAATCTCCTTATCTCCTTTACAAAAAATCTAGGCTCAGATTGTTTTATGGGTGAATTGTACAAAATTTACATAGGCATTAATTTTAACTAAATTGCATATTACAACAGATCCAGAAAAAAGTAAAAACACATGGTGACACATATTGGTAGCAGGGAACTAACTGATAGAATCCAGGAAGGAGGCCAGCCTGAGCAGGACAATGAAACCTTGCCTCAAGATCAAGAAAACAGGGCCAGGAGCCAGGCAGGATGGCTCACGTAATCCTCATAATCCCAGCACTCCAGAGATGGAAGCACAAGGTCATTCTAAGATACAGATGGTGTTCTGGGCCCATCTATGCTATAAAAGACCCTGTCGATAATAAAAGAACAGAAGGAAGTAGTTTCAAAAGGAGAGATGGGAGAGAGAAATTCAGGCACATTTCCTCTAAGAGTAGGAACAGAGGGCTGTTAAGAGTTAAGCTGTTAAGAGCACTGGCTTGCTCTTATAGAGGACACAGGTTTGGTTCCCAGCACCTATATGGCACTAACAACTGTCCAAAACTCCAGTTCCAGGGGATCCAATGCCCTCTTCTGGGCTCCACAGGCATTGTACAACATGGGTGCACTTACATACATACAGACAATACGCTCATACACATAAAAATAATAAAACAGCCAGGCGTGGTGGTGCATGCCTTTAATCCCAGCACTTGGGAGGCAGAGGCAGGCCGATCTTTGTGAGTTCCTGGTCTACATAGTGAGTTCCAGGACAGCTGTGGCTAAAGGGAGACCCTGTCTCAAACAAAAACAAAAACAAAAACAAAAATAAATAAATAAATAATTTTTTAAAAAAGAGGGTCTGGGGGGCTGGAGAGAAGGCTCAGCAGTTAAGAGCACTGACTGCTCTTATAGAGGACCCAGGTTCCATTCCCAGCACCTACATGACAGCTACGAACCATCCTTAACTCCAGTTCCAGGGGAATCCAATGCCCTCTTCTGACCTCCATGGCACTGCATGACACAGGTGCACTCACATACATTTAAGCAATACACTCATACATATAAAATAAAAATAATTAAATATTAAAAAAATAAAAGAGTGGCTGGAGAGATGGCTCAGTAGTTAAGAACACTGACTGTTCTTGCAGAGGACCTGGGTTTGAATCCCAGCACCCACACGGCAGCTAACAACTGTCTGTAACTCCAGTTCCAGGGGATCTGACAGCCTCTTCTGTCCTCCTGGGGCATTGCATGACATGGGTGTACTTATATACATGCAAGCAATACAAGCATACACATAAAAATAATAAATACAATTAAAAAAAAGAGTAGTAACAGGCACTAGAGATCTGGCTCAGTAAGAGATTTACTGTGCAAGAATGAGAACCTGACTCAAATCCCTAGCACCTACATAAAAATGTGGAAATGTTTGTACATGCCTAAAACCCCAGTGGAGTAAGGGTCAGAGACAGGAGGATCACTGGGGATTGTTAGCAGTCATCCTAGCTCCAGGTTTCATGAGAGGCTCATTTCCTTTAGTCCCTTTATTCTCAAGGGAATAAAGCAGTGCTGATAGCAGGCAATACACTCATTCATATAAAACAAAAATAAATACAATATAGCAGGCAATACACTCATTCATATAAAACAAAAATAAATACAATTTACAAAAGACATCTGGGGTCCGGGGGTGGTGGCGCATGCCTTTAATCCCAGCACTTGGGAGGCAGAGGCAGGTGGATCTTTGTGAGTTCAAGGCCAGCCTGGTCTACATAGTGAGTTCCAGGACAGCTGGGGCTACAAGGAGACCCTGTATCAAAAAGACAAAAAAAAAAAAAAAATCCCAATATAGTCTATGCATTTAAATTAATCCTTATAAAAATTTAGATTGAGGACTAGGGATTTAGCTTAGTTTGTAGAGTACTTGTGTAACATTCATGAGGCCCTGGATATTGTGATTCATGCCTGTAATCCCAGCACTCAGTAGAGAGAGGCAGGAGGATCTTAAGTTCCAGGACATTCTCAGTTCCATAGGGAGCTCATGCCTAGCTTGAGTGAGACTTAAACCCAGAGTCTCTCACACACTAAGTACTCTACCATTGAATCATGTGGATTCTCAGCCAAGACTGAATTTTTAGGAGCTTAAAATCTTTAAAGGTCCACAGTTAGGTCTTATAGACACTGAGGAGTTATTGTTCGTGGGAAACTGAGATACAGTACTGCCAACACTACGGTAATAAAACAATGTAGATGCTCCACAAGAGCAGAGAATCATCCCAAGGAGATATGCTGGATTACACAAAGACAATCCCAAGTACATAGCAAAGTTTAATGTGTGATAAAGTTAGCATAAACAACCAGTGTGGAAAGGACATATTGTTTTGTAAGTGGGTTTGAGCAACCTGGAGAAAAAAATAAAGTTGGATGCTTGCTTAATACTATACACAAAGACTGTCTGTAAATGAAATGGAGTTCTACTATGTAAAGGACAAAATTATAAAATTAAGGGCTCAGCAGTTAAAGAACACTGGCTGTTCTTGCAGAAGACCTGGGTTCGAATCCCAGCACCCACATGGCAGCGAACAACTGTCCGTAACTCCAGTTCTAGGGGATCCGACAGCCTCTTCTGTCCTCCACAGGCATTGTATGACACAGGTACACTTACCTACATGCCGGCAATACACACGTACACATAAAATAAAAATAATAAAATATTAAAAAACATATAATTAATTAAAAATACAGAAGATCTCTATGATTTAGAAGCATGAATGGATTTCTCATATGGAACTTCAAACCACCAAGGAAAAAACTGATGACCGTGATGATATCAAACTTCAGAACTTTTGATCAACAAGAGTTATAAAGACAGACTGGTTCAGGACTGAAACTGACAAAAGATTAGGAACGAGATTATGTAATGAAATCCTATAACCAAAATAAGACTGAAACCCCTAAAGAAAAATAAGCATAAGATATGTATGGAGAATTCAAAGGAGAAACACCAAGACTAACAGGAATATGGAGCAATAGGTAAACTCAATAATAACCATAGCAATGAAGAAAATGAACTATCATTCACCCTCACTAACTGGCAGAAAACCACAACAGGGCTGTGCAGTGCCACTGCTGGAAGAGAAGAAATGAGAGTTCAGGGCCCACATGCATGCTGGAGGAGGAACGCCAAGCGTATCCCTTCTGGGAACAATCTTGTCTTAGTCACCTTTCCAAACATCATCCTCATGGAGCTCAGAACAGCCATCAGTTGGAGGGTGATCTATTCTGGCAAGAAGAGGAAGGCAAGCTACATTTGCCATGCAGGAGATAGAGTAGGCAAGGACAGTAAGGCAGACACAGATGGAAGACAAAGCAGGTCAGAGTCACAGAGGAAACAAGTCCATAGATGTTCATCTGCATAATTAAAATATGCACAGACCAGCCTGGTCTACATAGTGAGTTCCAGGACAGCTGGAGCTACAGGGAGACCCTGTCTCAAAAAGACCAAAAAAAAAAAAAAAAAAAAAAAAAAAAAAAAGCATGGAGAACAGAACAGTGGCATCTAGTGTGAGACAACTCACAATGCATACTCACCACATTCAAATGGTGTCCTAATGGAGAGGGCTAATTGGAAGTAAAGGGAACAAAGAAGTAAGAGAGGAACCCTGTGTGGACAATGATGGCTGTACGGCAAGAGTGGAAAAACTCAACCCTGTGAGAGATCCAAAAACTAGTCCCTTGAAATGTAAAAGCTCTCATTAAGGTGCTTCTTAGCCAAACCACATCATTCAACCAGGTTACTGCACATGGCAGGAATATGGGAAGTGAAGTCAGTACCCGAGTCTCCAGGACACCAACAGCCTTGGCCTGGTTGCCTCTAGCTGCCAAGAGCTGCTGTCTGATATCTTCTAAATTCTGCTCAGCAACTGTTTTCTGTAAGTTCAAAGACAAGTAAAAGAAAAAAGTTGTTTCTCGATTTAACAAGTATTTATTGATGCTGTAACATACTATGATTTGTGTTAAGCACAGGGGAATTAGATAAAACCATCAGCAAATAAGATATAACTCATGATAAAGTACAAACAAGTAAATCTGGCAATCTTTTGTCCCCAAGGCTGGAGCAATAACCAAAAAACATATACACCAGAGTGCAGAAAGTGGAGGCAAAGGAGTCAAAGAGGTGGGAAAGAGTGCCGCCAGTCAAGTGACTTTCCTAACTTACATGGCAGCTAAGCACTGGGGAATAACCCAACAGTGTGGCCCAGAGGGCTGTGAAGAGCTTGCTATGTTTACAGAACCATAGCTCCTGAAGTTGTGAAATGAGACTATGAAGTTGGACAAAAAGGTCAGACAATAAAGGGACTTGTTAGTGCACAAAAAATTGTTTTAACTAATTCTGCAGGTGACCTTTTTCAAATGAGATCTTCCAAACCCTGGGATTGATTTACCTGGGGAGGCTGTGTAAATGCAAGGACTTGCTCTAGGCCTACCGATGTCAGGATTTCTGAGGGAAGGACCAGAGATACATGCTTTAAACAAGCTCCCAAGTAATTCCTGTGCATTCTGCACTGTGTAATAATGATTATAATACTAATAAGAGCTGGCCATGTGGACATGGTCATTCATACCCTTAATCCCCACACTTGAGAGACAGAGGGAGGTGGAACTCTAAGAGTTTGAGGCCAGCTTGGTCTACATAGCATGTTCCAGGCACATACGGAAACCCTACTATGCTCTAATCATCAATTTAAGCACATACATTGTAACTTTTTTTTTGGGGGGGGGAGGGGGCAGTTCTTTTTGAGACAGGGTCTTCCTGCAGCTCCAGCTGACCTGGAACTCACTATGTAGACCAGGCTGGCCATGAACTCACCGAGATCTGCCTCCTCTGCCTCCCAAGGGCTGGGATTAAAGGCATGTGCCACCATGGCTGGCACATTGTAATTTTTTGAGTGTGGTACAATATAAAATCAGTTTTATAGAGGAAACAAACACAAAAGAAAGAAGTTACTTGTTTTATCTCATAGTGAAGAGAAGCAAGATACAAACACAGATGCCTGAATGACTCTAGAAACCAACTTCCAATATTAGAATCCACACCATACTCAATGTAGATGCGTAAGGGAATTGTGGAAGGTAGTGATAGGATCAGAGTCCAGTTTGGGAAGATCAGTTTGGTAGTGACTATCAGAGGGTGAAGGAGAGCTGGGTGGCCAGCCTGGAGATTCCAATGTACCCTTGGCTGGTGCAGCTGGAAGCTCTGGTGGACAGCAGTATCAGGAGAGAAGATATTCATTCAGCTGAGCCAGTGACAGTCTGATCTAGGATGAGGCTAAAGCAGTGGCTTTGCTAAGTTTATCATGATAAGCCTAGTTTATCATTAGGCTACAAAGAAAAGAGAGAGTTTACCTCTACTATGGGGGAAGAGGGGGAGTCTGCTTGATAGCTTCCCCAAGCTGAGGAAAACTTGTGATGCAAGGTTAATTCTTGCTCATGCCAAAGGCAGATGGTAACTATTTTCCTTGCACAGTAGAGAGGGGTGAGGATAGGGAAGGGCACTGTCCTAGTTTGTTTCTCCAATGCTGTTACAAAACACTCTGACCAATACCAACATGGGGAGGAAAGGGTTTATTTGTCTTACATCTTACATCTTATTTGTCTTACATCTCCCAGTTCATCAGGGAGCCCAAGATAGGAACTCAGGGCAGGAGCCTGGAGGCAGGAGCTGAAGCACAGGCCATGGAGGAACGCTGCTTACTGGCTTGCTCACCTGTCCCCTGCTCAGCCTGCTTTCTTATGCAACACAGGCCCACCTGCCCAGGGGTGGCACCACCCACAGTGGGCTGAGCCCTCCCACATCACTCAACAATCAAGAAGATGCCCCACAGACATGGCCACAGAGAAGTTCAATGGAGGCAATTCCCCAAATGAGGCTCCCTCAACCCAGGTGTGTCAAGTTGACATTAAAGCTATCCAGCACAGGCGCAGTGCAGCAAGATAAGAGCCTGGGTGTCATCAATCACCATGCAGTCAGGATGTAATCTGTTCTTATAGCTCTCTAAACAAATTGTTCCCTTTCTCTGAGAAACAGTAGATACAAGGCTGGTTTTTGTTTGTTTTGAGACAGGGTCTCATGTAGCTCAGGCTTACCTCAAACTCACCATGTAGCCAAGGATGACTCTGAACTTGTGATTCTCTTGTTTCCACCTTTCAAGTTCTAGGCTTATAGGCATATCCCCTACACCTAGTTCTTGCAGTGCTGGGGACTGAATTCAGGGTTTTGTACATGGTAAGCAGCAGTCTAATAACTGCGCTAATCTCCAGCCCTACACGGCCGTTTCTGATGACAGTTCAAGGTTGAATAAACTAGGTGCAGTTTATGCTGCCTAGCTCCAGGTGCTCAGGAGTCTGAGGCAGGAGGATAGCTTGAGCCCAAGAGTTTAGAGCCAAAAAAGTACAAAAAGTTATACCCAGTTGTCTTCTTACCCACTGTCTTCTTTTGACCCTCTAGATCAGAAACCCCAGAAGTTATGAAACGACCAGAACACTAGCCAGCATAGGAGAGTGAACATTATTACCTCTTTCAGGAGTTCTTGCATGTGCTCTTCTCCTGATAAGTTCTGTTCTAGTCTCTTCTCCAAAGATGCCACCTTCTCCTGCAAATGTGTGATGAGTTTTTCTTTCTCTTGAGTTTCAGCAGTGGCCTGGGGGAAAAGCAGAAGCATTCTTTAAGTCTTCTCTCTGTTATAAGTCTTCTCTCCCCTCATTCCTGTCCTTTGGGGTCATGTTTCCCTGAAATTCTGTTCTCAACTACATCACAAAAAAACACAACCAAGAAATCTTCCCTGAAAATGAAACAAAGAGATGCCAGATCAGAACCCTGCAACACTGAGACCTAGTACAGCAAGAAGACCTAGCACAGCAAAGAGCACAGACCAGGTGAGACCTAGCACAGCAAGGGGCAAGCACCAGCTAAGACCTAGTGTAGCAAGAGACAAGCACCAGGTGAGACTTTGTGCAGTAAGGGGCAAGCATTACTACCAATTTAAGCAACCAACAGTATGGGAAGAAACAAAGTCATCACTTCCCTGGTAAGACAGCAGGGCCAATCCAAGAAGCTCCCCAGTTGCCCTGAAAGGACCTACAGAACCACATTTCTAAGAGTCTGGATTCAGTCTTCAGCACTGACAATAAACAAACACCCTAAGCCAAAAAACCATAACCATGTCTCGGAAACTCAAGGATAGAGCAGGGACAAAGCTAAGATAACTACTTTAAGGCCAACAAGAGAACTTCTGAAACAATAATGGTATTTACCTTGGCTCACGGCACAGGAGCCAACAGGGCCAGTGTGCACCCCATAGAGTGGCCTTAGAGAATGTTCACATCTGTCAGTTTTTATCAATGATTGGCAGTGACTGCGGTGGGACTTGGTTCCTTTCATTACTATTAATCTTCAAATGCTATGGTATGTCAGAACAGAGGAGTCAGAAAGCTTTGAAGATATAAGCTCTCAGATCCATAGTGGTCCTTGCTTCCACTCAGGATGCCCACTCTCCCCTGGGAAGAGGCATCACAGCCTCAAGCTCTGGTGGTGGTAGAATGCACACCCCTCACACTCTGCTCCCTCATATCCTCTGTTCTTACACTTCCACTGCTACAGCTCAGGCCACAAACTCACACTCAGCTTACAACCTGGGCCAGTCTCTCCTTCGTAAGATACAGTGGGCTGGATACATGGCTTTGGGGAAGAATTACTTGCCAATTTCAACTGTCACACAGGCTACGACTGGGTAGAAGGTCTCTGAAGAATGGACACACAACCTCAGAATTTAATCCTCTTTTGTCATATCTATACAGGTTTTGACCGACAAAAGCAAGGAGTCTTCTGGCTGCTTGAAGCAGAGACAGGTACCCAAACAACCAGCTATAAAGCAATACAATCAATCACCCTGCAAGATGGGGACATACAAAGTGCTATGAGAGCAAAAGCAGGAGGGATCAACTGCTGGGGACAATGAGACTAGGCCTTCTCAACAGGATAGCCCAGGTGCAGGGAGGCACTATGGGTAAAGGACAGTGTGAAGGTTAATTTTTTATTTTTTATTTTTTTAAGACAGAGTCTCCCTGTAGCCCCAATTGCCTGGAACTTGCTATGTAGACCAAGCTGGACTCCATCTAAAAGTGATTCACCTGCCTCTGCCTCCCAAGTGCTGGGACTGATGGTTTTAATTGTCAATCTGAGGGCTAGAAAGATGGCTCAGTGATTAAGAGCACTGGAGGATCTGGGTTTGGTTCCCTGCACCTACATGGCAGCTGTTAATCATCTGTGACTGTAGTTCCAGGTAATCTGATGTCCTCTTCTAACCTCTGTGGGCAATGTACGACATAAGTGCACTTACATACATGCAGCAATACAGACAGACACACACACAATAGTCAATTTGATACAATCTAAAATCACCTGGAAGAGTCTCAATGACAAATCATCTAGATCATTTTGATGTGTGGACATGTCTGTGAGAGACTGTTTTGATTACATTAATTCATGTGGGAAGACCCAGTCCACCACGGGTAGCAATTTCCCTGAGTCCAAGGTTGTATAAATGTAGAGAGGGGCTGAGCAAAGTCAGTATACATGCATTCATTTCTCTCTATTCTTGACTGTGTGTATGATATAACTACCTGCTTCAATTTTCTACCACCTCAACTTCCCTTCAATAATGGCTTATAACTTGAAATTTCAAGCTAAAATAAACTCTTTTACCTTAAGGTTGTTTTTCTGAGGCTATTTTATCACAGAAACAAAAACAAAACTGGAACTGGAAGTACACAAAGAGAGAAGAAAAGTTCACTCAAATCAGGAAGCTGGGGCGAGGAGGATATAGAGTAGTAGACAACCCCGAAACTTGTGGCCCAGATGTTGAGGCAACAGCAACATTATGAAAAGCAGGTATCAAGGGAGAGGTGAATGTTAAGACAGGAAGAAAACAGCTGTGTCCATGCTGATACATTATGCGGAGCTCCTATGCCAACCATGGCACTAGAAGTGCCTGCAGAGCGTGGTTAGCAGCAGCTCCGGCTCTGCTTGCAGAGCACGTATAGAGCATTTTCCATTCTCTCTAGTCCTCATGACCAGTCTTCAGTGTGTCTACATGATAAGGAGACTGACCCAGATCTCTCAGCAACACACTGAGGACTCAAACTGGGTCCAAAGCCTCTGCTTGTTCTGTTGAACAGCACTCTGAACTTGACAGATTCTATGGTGACCCTTTCTACTGAAAACCAACACAGCTTATACAACTCACTGTGTTGGTTAGGGATGGGATAAAATTAGGGACAGAAAAATAATCTGGTGCCAAGTTCCACTTAGTATTCTTATGGTTCATATCCTGCAGTCTTCTTGGTCTGGCTGCTTTATGTCAGGCCCTCAGCACCTCGGGCTGACTAACAGAACAAATACAGAACCATTCTCCCTGCTGCTAAATCTGCTTATTTCCCAATGGTCTCCCTCTTTATCTATTCTCCACCAAAGTCTGAGCCTTACAAATATTGTTCTAGAATATGAACTGCATCAACAATGTGGTTATCAGCCAGCTAGAGTGGCACATATTTATAATCCCAAGGCCTAAGTCAGCCTGGGATATCTAGTAAGACCTTCTCTCAAAAACAAAACAAAGCGAAACACAATTAGGTCATGGGCATTTGATTTGACAGACGAGTCAGTCTCCAGGTTCAGTCTTTACTGTAGCTGTGTGATCTTGAGCAAATCACTTGCCTCTGAGCTGCTCTCCTTATCATCAGCTGTGTAACAGGCAGTATGCAATGGGAGGGCTTGCTGCACACACTGGTCACTCTCTACTTTGACTACAGGCACTGTATGGGACTGGCACCACCAATACAGTGGCACTTGCCAGAGTTCAGAGTGTTCCCATGTCCTTGTGGGTTTGAGGATTTGAATTTTTTTTTTTTGAGACAGGGTCTCCCTGTAGCCCCAGCTGGCCTGGAACTCACTATGTAGACTAGGCTGGCCTTAAACTCTCTGAAATCCATATGCCTCTGCTTCCCTAGTGCTGGGTTTAAAGGTGTGCACCGCCATGCCTAGCCTGTGGGCTTGAATTTTGACAAAGCCCACACAGCTGGTGGGAGTAAAAATTACTGCAACTACAGAAAAAAGCTGGGAATTACCTAATAAATGTGAAAATTTACATATCATGTCATTCACACCCTAGAGAACTCTTGTATAATTAGACAAATGTTCATAGCAATCTGATTTGTAATACCAGAAACAACCCTAATGTCCACTCTCAAGCGAATGTATAAATAAATGCTAGTGTGTCCATACTGTACAGTGAACAAGAAAGGAATAAATTACAATTACATACAGCATATGAATGTTTTCAGGTATATGTTGGACAAAAAAAATGTTTAGAATACTCACAAGATGATTTCATTTATATAA